CGATGCGTTTCAGAAAGGCGGGGCATAGAGGAGAAACAATAATGTACAGTATGTGGAAAATAATCTGTTTTTTGAACCTTAAACCGCATAAACACATTTCATTACACCAAATACACAAAATAATGTTCTTTTTAGCAACATCATATGACCCCTTTAAACTAACTGTTCGAAATGGGTAATCTAAAAATACACGATTTACCATGTCTTTGATTGAGATATAAAATTATTAGTGTTTCCCACCAAACCTCCCTCTGCTATGCCACTGTGTGGGGGAGTATAATATTTCTATTTAATGATTCTAAAACTACACTTTATGTAATTGCATACACACATTGCTGTTATAGGCCTGACGTTAAAGGGATAGTTCACCCAAAAATGAAAATTCTCTCATCATTTAGGCTACTCACCCTCATGCTGCTCCAAATCTGAGCTTCTTTCTTCTGTTGAACACAAAAGAAGCTACTTTGAACAATGTTGGTAATCAAACTGTTGACAGTAGCCATAGGCTGCATGGAAAAAAAATACTACAGTGGGGCCTGAAAGTTTGTGAACCCTGTAGAATTGTCTATATACTGTTAAAAAATAAAGGTGCTTAAAAGGTTCTTCACAGCGATGCAATGCATAGAAGAACCATTTTTGGTTCCACAAAGAACCATTCAGTCAAAGGTTCTTTAAAGAACCACCTCTTTCTTACCTTTTTATAATCTGAAGAACCAAACTTTGATAGATCCCTGTTCTTTAAATAAAACAGGGCACACACTGACACCTGATAGTCATCTCACTGATTAAAAACACCTCTGAACAGATGAACTCTAATTTCACCTTCAAATTAACAGCTAATCCTAGAGATTCACAAACTTTTGCTGCTCACAGATATGTAATATTGGATTATTTTCCTGAATAAATAAATGACAAAGTATATATTTTCGTCTCATTTGTTTGATTGGGTTCTCTTTGTCAACTTTCGGAACTTGCATGAAAACCTGATGATATTTATGCAGAAACAGCTACAGAAAATTCCAAAGGGTGCACTATAAGTCAGCGGCTACTGTCAACTGTTTAGTTCCCAACATTCTTCATCTTCTTTTGCATTCAACAGAAGAAAGAAACTCATACAGGTTTGGAACAAGTGGAGGCTGAGTAAATCATGACAAAATGTAGATTTTTGGGTGAAATATCCCTAATGGTATGGTCTCCCTCAGTATTGAAGCCTTTTGATTTCTATTGAGTTTAGAGGGTTAAGTTAAGAGGGGTCATGTGCATCTCTCCTAGCAGGCTTCATTTGAGTTTTATTACCTAATCTTTGGTTGCACAGTCTTGATGTAACTGCTCACATTTTCTTTGTTTTGCAGGGACATTCACTTTGCATTACTTCTCAAACAAACATGGTACTGCTTCCCTGCATTCATGCATGACTCCATACCCAGCACCACAGTAGTATTAAGCTGAAATACAAACCCCTCAGGGAAAACTGAGAGCTGCAGTTTGAGCGTGAACAATTGCTTTTTTTGGCTTTTTTTTTTTTTTTTAGTTAAACATGAGTTAGGGTGCAGACAGTGTCCAGAAAATAAGGGCCAGTATGATGGTTGAATGGAACAGACCAAAATAGAAGAAGAAACACTTGGCTACTCACATTTTGGGATGTTTCTTTTTTTTTAATTTTGACATGCAGAGCTAAAATAGAAACATTTGCAGATGTGTTAAAAAACAACGTCAGCTAAGAACTTCACAGGCAGGAGGATTGTGTTCTCTTTCGAGATGTAAAGCATCAGTCATGTTCTGCATCTGCTGGAGTAGTCTGCTAATGAGTAAAGCATGTTCACTGCAATTGCAGAAAATGAGAAATGGCCATTTCCTTCTGTCTGAGAGGATAATGGGAGCTTGGGGCTGGAGGTGTAGCAAGTGCTCAGACAATCTTCCATAAGCTTGAGTCCTTCCCACAGAACCTGGTGACATCACACAAAGAGCGTTTCACTCATGCCTGTGTTTTGAATGTGTAGTTTGAATCAAATATACCATAGTGCAAGTCACATTTACTGAAATGATTCAGAAGGGGTTATGATGCTAAAATAGAGAAGTAGTATATCCTCATGGTGCTGTTCGAGTGCATTTCCTGAAGGAAGCATCTGCTGTTAGGAAAAAGCAATGAAGAAATATAGTCAAGAATCATTTTTTTTCTTCCATCCTCATAATCATATTTAGAGGCTTTGTCACACACACTTTTGGGTTTTGTTTGCCTTCACTCTACAATTAGAAATGTGTACGCTGTAATTTTAAATTGATGTAATGGTACAGTTGGTACAGAAAGGTACAGTTTATTGTTTAACTGTAAGTTGCCATATATTGTGGAAAAATATATTTGTTTTAATGGACAATAAATTAAATTTTTCTGCAAAATACTGTAAAAATGTATGTTTTTTGTTCTTGTAGTCAGTTATACATTTTCATGTTCTATCTATCTATCTATCTATCTATCTATCTATCTATCTATCTATCTATCTA